GAAACAGTGGAACATTTAGAAAACCAAGACTCTATTTCAAAACAAGGCAAGTCACGAAATTGCATTAAGGCACCACAAATAGAGGCTACATTGAGACTATTTCATGTCTCAAAACTGACATGAGAAAGTGAAATGACCAAGGAAACAAACATTCCTGACCTTATGCCTTCAAAAGTGATACCGTAAAGTCATTTAGAAAAGATAAAAATTGTATTAGAAATTAAAATTAATATACCAGAAGAATCAAGGTATTACTATCCCCTGAAAAGCCCAAGTAACACACACAGTTCTATGCTCTGTCTGCAAGTATAATAGTATATACTAACTGAATTGTATGAAATCCAAAAGCTCCTCAGAAATTGAAAGCAGTAATTGGGTTTCCATCCTTCTAAGAAGTTACAATAATTAGAAATACAATCCCCACAGCAACATGTTTCTGAATCTTAATCTTTTTCTACCTGTGAGCCTTTTGTTAAACAGAGGAGACGACCGAGGACTTTCCATCTTTGCAAATCTGTTCCTTAAAACCACAGACTTGTAGCTGTTTTGGAAATATTTCTGCATTAACTCTGGCACTTACACCAATAACTGGAAAGGAAACAACGCTGTTAACATTTAAAATAGTGGAAAAAATGTTGCTTTGTTTCTTCCAAGGAGCCCTTCTATTATAATTCAAACACGAGTAACTCAAGTAACATTTCCTTCAGGAAATGTCTCTCACACACAGGGCCAGCTGCTGGCCTTGCTCCTCCTGGTCTCAGTCCCACGAGACATCCAGGTATGTGCTTCATTCTAATCAAGCAAAAAGTCCCACAATAGTGCACAGAACTATTTACCTGTTTAATTAAAGGCAACTACTTTGGTACCCTGCTGAATCAGGGCTTTTCATAATATTTTGAATTACCCTGCAATAAAAGTCATAATAGGAAAAATATAAGACGAAAAAAGAAAGAAACAAACAAACAATAATCCCCAAATTAACAAATGTGCAGAAAATTTTCATAATGCATCTTACTTAGACAAGTGTAATTTGGAGTCTTCTATACGGTTGGAGTATTCCCCTTGCTGGTTCCACAAACCATCATCCTTCATGTACACTCATATATATAAATTAAATTTTAACAACAACACAAAGAATCCTGCTCTGGCTTTTGAAAGAAAAAGGTTCTTTATTAGAAAGCAGAGGCTGATTTTTCCAGCAGACAATGGATTTCTTCAAAGATGCTAATGGTATCTGAATCAAAACCAGCCAGGAGGTAGTAATTTCAGAAGAACTAAGTTTGAAATTTATTATTCCCTTTTCAATCAATCTCCAGCAGTCCCCCAAATGCAGTTTTTACAACTACAAAAATATATGTTCTTTGTAAACAAGAACAATGATGGCAGTCCCAAAGGAAGAAAAAGGCTCTCTAATCTCTCCTCAGGCAGAATAAACAAAGTTCTTCATCTCTGAAAGCTCTTAGTTAGAAACTAATGGATGAATGGAACAACAACCTCAGCCTGAAAAAAAACCTCTAATAAACGGACTCCCAAACCCCCTCTCAAACCAGATAAAAGGTTGCTCTTCCCTGTTTGATGTCCCTAGAACACTTCAGCCATGCAGAAGAAATATCCTGATAAACCCAAGGCCAACTTGCACTGGTAAGTTATGTGACCAACCAACAGCACTTGGAGAGAAAAAGATAAATCTGAAATGAACCTGCTAAACACCATATGGGATAACTTATAAAATACACCCATAGTTTAAAAGACATTTTGATGGTAGCTCAGTGAAAAGTGTTACACCTCCCTGGCAGCTTCTAATGTGACCTGAAAAGTCACATTTATTCGCAAAAGAAAAATTGCTCATCCACAGAAGTTATATATCTCTCAAAGAATTTGCAGTGGATTGACTTACACTGTAAGTGCTGTGTCTTCATCCAGATGGACTAAAGATACATGTATTAAAAAAAGAAAAATAAAAGAAAAATCAGACTCCCCACTAGAACACTGAAAATCAACTGGATTTTTTCACCCTGGGGATTTAGACTGCTCCAGGACAAACACTGTGGTAACTAATACCAATTGTGTATCATTGGAAATAGCAAATAGTCTCGAGCATAATGACCACCTTTGATGGAAGTTAATGATAAAGAACTGGGATAAAGGCACTGGAGTTGTTACTCAAAGCAGCCCCAGCTCTGAAGAACACACTTATGCAGGCAAGCACTCGGTGGGAGATACCTTACATTTGGCTGCATTTTATGTAAAAACCCAAGTAAGCTCTTAAGGCATGTGCTGTGCTTTTTGCTGCCACGAAAACTTGCAACTAATCTGCACAGCTTATTTTTAACACAAGCAAGCAAGCCTCCAGCAAGTCTCATGTTCATCAGAGCTACAAATCGCTGTAAGGGCAAGTTATTAACATAAGCTCTTCATCAAATGGGGTTCTTAGAAGAGTCTAAGACACTGATTAATAAACTGTGTCATTCCCCCCATCCCCTTCCTCCTACTTTAAACCAAGGCCACTGTAGGTTTGGGTTTTTGCTTTTGTTTTTTTAGAGCTAAATCTGAACATGGTGTCTGGAGCAAGAGAGGGCAAGAGCTCCAGACCCCACCGACCTGAGCTAAACAGCTGGGGGAAGGAAAGCTGGGAGCTTCCATCCACCCACTGTTGCCTAATTTGCAGGAGTAGATGGAAAACCACTTTTGGATGTACATAGGCTCACTTCTGCATGCTTTTAAAACACAGGAAACCATCAGGTTCTGCACAGGCATCAGCGTGATGCGTGTCTCCAGAGGGTCGGTGCTGGCACACCGGGGCCCTGTGTATCACACTGCTCCCTCTCCTGCCCACTTCACCCGGGTGTTTCGCTTTTCTGAAACCCACCGACAGGTAAAATGCCTCCGCACAGAAGTTTCTTTCCATATACTTCAGATCTGGTCCGGTTCCAACGTATATCCTACCGATAATTGGAACGGGAAACCATCCCGGTGTATACATTTCTCACAGCACCTCACAAAGGCCGCATTCCCCAGCTCGCCCACGCGCTCCACACCTTAACAATAAACATGCAAAGCAGCCTCGGTTCCCCCTCCCCACACACATGCTTTGTTCAGCGATCCATTTTTCTACCCCACCAAGCTCACTAAATAAACATGAGGAGCCAACCTGCGGCACTCATCCCAGCCGGGTAATGTATGCAATTACGCTAATCTGCGAAGAAGGCTGCCAGTGGAAACCAAATACGGGAACGTCAGCATTCCTGACTAACGTGCCACGATGCAACCCGGCACGACAAGAAAAAAAAGCTCCTTAACATACCAAATGGGACTTCTCGGGTCGGGAGGGTTTGTGCTCGCTTCTGCTGCAGGAAGGAATCGCGGCTACCACCCTCCAGCTAAACGTCCTGAGGAGTTCAAGAGCGAGGCCAAGAGGCCGGAGCCTTTTCGTATCTGCGTGGACCATCCCAACTTCCTAATAAAGGAAAGGCTCTTGGCTGCAGGAAATGAAACTGTGATTGAGATAAAGATTAGGCTCCAGCCCAAAGTTAAGTGGAGCAGGTCTACCGTGAGTGCTACCTACAGATAGGCTATTTAGTGGCCAAACCACTGAAGGAGCATCACTCTCCTCCTTACCGGGGTGACCGCTAGGCTTTTTTTGTTAATCCCAACCACAGCTGTAGGGAGCTGGCAAGGAGTCATCCGATGAAACATCTCCTATTGCCTCTTCAGGTCCCCAGCCAGCTTCAAACCTTCTCCTTCTCCCATATCTTAACCACTCCTACCAGACATAAAAGCAACTGTAAAGATGCCCTTGATTCAGCAGCCTTGCTCTGGTTTTCTTTTTTTGGGGGGGGGGGGAAATATAAAGCAGTGCTTCATGTGGATCCTTGGTGGTGTAGTAGCGTGTCAAATGCTCACAGTAAAGCAAAACCCCTGAAGTTAAAAATCCTCATGGTGCATTTACAAGACTGATTGCGATGGACAGTGTAAGACAGCAATAGGCTATTTTCCATGATTGCTGAGACTGTGCAGTGCAAGATCCTGAAAGAACCACTGAACGAACCACTGTGATAGCCACTGTCTATCTGATTAAACTGTATTTGCTGGTCTGACAGTCTGAACACAAACCTATGTAGTATCAAGAATGACTCAACGATTAAAATCAACATGTTAAAAGCAAAAAGTAAATAGTACACCCGAGGAAATAAGGCCTAGCCAGCTAGCACCTTTTTGCCACAAAAATATCCTTATTAACTAGGGCCAATAATAAGGTTGTCTGAGAAACTGAAGGGAACTATCTGTGCTTCTTTCCTTCTTACACACAGAAATCAGCCACCAAGAAAAAAAAAGAAGAAAAAAAAGGAAGAGGAACAAATATACAAGAAGTTTCCAACCCTTTTCATCCTGTAAAGTCTCCCTGCACTAAAAAAATTATTAATAACAACGTCTCCATAAACCACAAATTTTGCATCGAGACTTAAACACATCAGTAATATTTATGTTGCATTAACGCCTGATTTACACCAGTCCAAAAGAAAACTTTCAAGCGTAAAAACTGAAAAGGAAAAAACAAACAAACAAACTCACTCAGACCCCCTCACAGACCTCTGCGCCCTGCAGGAAGGGGCAGTTCCAAGGAAGGGGCTGCAACCCGAGGGACACCGAAGGAGAAGCCCCGGGATGGGCTGTTCCCAGCAAACGCGTGTTCCAGGCGGGACTCCGCCGGTGCTCAACCCGCCTCCCAGGGAAAGCCCCGAGCTCGCAGCCCGCAGGAGCCCTGCCCGGCACCGCAGCACTGCCACAGGACACTAACACCCAGCACCGAGCCCGCCAGCCCCGGCGCTGTCAGCTGTCAGCCCAACAGCCCAGCCCGCTCCCCAACTCCCCCCCGCGCCGCCGCTCCACCAGGAGCCGACCCCGGCCCCCACCCCCGGTGAACACCCGCTGCTCCCGCTCCTCGCCCACCGCCGGCGCGGGCAGGTGGGTCGGGCAAGAGGCGGCAGCGGCCGCGTTACCTGCTCGCCGCCCCCTCGCCGGGTGGGCTCCGGGAGAAGAAGCGGGAAAAAGTGCTGTGCCAGGAGGGGCCGGCCCGCCGCCGGCTGCCCCCGCCGGACATCGCCGGGACGGGACGGGCACGGGACGGGAGGCGCCGCCGGCAGCCGCCCGACACCGAGTCCCGGCGGCGGGAGGAGGAGGCGGCGAACACCTCCCTACCTCCCTCCCTCCCTCCTTCCCTCCGCCCCCGGGGAGGAGCCGCCGCCCGCCGCGGGCAGGAAGGGGAGCAGAGCGCTCGGGGAGGCGGAGCGGGGAAGGTTGGAGCGGCAGGAGGTGTTGGAGCTCCATCCGTGTCCCTCCCGTGGGCAGCCGGGCAGGGACCCGCTCCCTGCGCTGCCGAGCGAGAGGGGAGCGATGTCCGCGCAGGGGGAGGGACCGCCGCGCCAGCAGCGGTGGTGCGATGGGTTTTGGTTTGATTGTTGTCGTTTTTGTTGGTTTTTCTTAAGTTAATGGGCCATAATTAGTGTGAACAAAGAGAAAAGATCAGAGGTGAAGTAAAAAACTGTGTAAGGAAAAGGACGGGCAGCCTTGAGAATTTACACGCCTGACTGGCTGCGAATGCCAAGCCCAGCGCTTTGTGAGTCCTGCCAGCTGGGAGATACTGCGCCCGTCTGTCCGTGCAGAGGCACACACTGGATTCGCGCTGTCCCGGGCCGAGCTCCGCCTGGCTGCCACACAACATCTGTGCCTGCTGCCAGCGCCGGGAGACACTGGCATCCAACGAGGCACACAGCAGCAATACCCGGGGGTTTCACCTCTCGCCTCCCTCTGTCACTCCTGCTGATGAAGTGACTTGAAGTAAAGGGGTTCTCCTGCCTTTTAAAAAGTCGTCTTCCTAGAAAAGAGCTTGTTTGCTTGGAGTTTTTGGTTGGTTTGGGGCTTTTTAATACCAAAACCTTCATCTTTGTACCGAAAGCTGTGGCTTCCCTTGAGTTAACATCAAACTATACCTACCAACAGAGACGATACTGCCATTGCAATAACACAGTGACAAATGCTATCCTCATTTTACAGATAGAGTTGATGCTCAAAACCTTAATGAATCACTTAATGATTACTTGTAAAATAGACTAACCCTGGCATAAGGATCTGAAATTCAGAACCACACTTTCTCATCACGCTGAGCATCTCTGCTGTTCCTTGTGACTGCCTATACCTTACACCTTTCTATCAGCTCCTTTTTTCTGCAGAGACACCCAGAGCAGATTGTCTGATGGCTTTTGAGTATCTCCAACTCCAGGATCTCTCTGGATAACCTGTGCCAGGGATCACCTCTTTTCTATAACATTTTTTTTTCATTTGGTCAATTTACCTCTTTACCCAAGGCCTCTTTGCTCATATTCTTTACCACTGTGCCATAATGGGGGCCAGATATGAAGTTGGTACTTGAGGCCCATCTGCAGAGCAGCGGCAATAAAACAGCCTGAAAAAAACCTACTGTCTGCTTTTCTGTCTTTTCTGTCTGCTTTCCCCTGCTTCAGCTGTGAACAAATCTTGAAGAAATGTGCAGACAGCTCTGCTTTGTATTGTCCAAGTCTCATATAGCTTTGATGTGGATCTTAAAAACAGACACAGGTGGATAGTGGACATGCACTTGAATTTTTACCAGTCAGTCTGAGTTGGGACTAGCTCGTTGTTTCACAGGTTGCAAAAAGTAGCTTTCTCATGGACTAGTTACCAGTCACAAACCTTGTTCAAGGAAACCATCACTTTAGTACACAACAAGGTTCTGTCCAGTATTCAGTCCAGACAAGGAGCAGACAATTCTCTCAGTGATACAGATGCCCCAAACCTTGCAAAAAAACCACGAAATGTTTAATACCAGAACAGTTTGGAGGCAAAAAAAGAAACTACATTTTGAGAGTAGCTACACATAGGTGCCAATTCTCAGGGAAATGGCAATCAGGGTTAAAACTGAAAAACGTAACAGCAGCCTCTATGGAACATTACAGAGGAGACACTCCCTCTGACATTCAAAATAGAAGTAATTAGGCTCCAAAACCAAATTAGAAGAGTGGCAATTTATTAGGACTGCACAAACAGGCTGCAGGGAGGCTTAGGCTCTCAGTGACTGTTTATTACTTTTAATTCTTCTTGGCCACATACATCTCACAGCTTCCCTACCTATTGCTTAAGTAAGATCTAATCCCTAAGCTGTAGCAAACCTGAATATAATAATTAGCATTTATAAAGCATCCAGTATCTTCAAAGGATTTAAGCATTAATTAATCCTCATAATCACCTCAGGATGTAGTTAAATATAATATGGTGAGTGGTTTGCACACAGAGACAGAGGCAGTCAAAACACCTAGCTGCATCCAAAATCTGTGTCCACACTCTCCCAGTGAGATGCCTGGAGGGGCACCACAGGGCAGCATGAAGCATTACCAGGGCTGTGCTTGTCCAAGAACAAAGAGCCAACCTAATCAGAAATGCAAATCCCAAACAGTAACATTTTGTGCTCAAATCTGTTCCTCCTTTCCCCACGGCATCTAAAAGCAGAAAATACAGAAACATACCAAATGACAGTTCTGTCAGAGGCAAATAATGAAAATAAGAAAACTAATCAAAATACTAAAACTATATCAATATAAAAGGTGAATATGGCCCATCTTAGATAATCCCTTTATTTTTCTGTGCCCTGGAGTAATCGACATGATTTACGAGCAAATAATTTTGACACATTTAAAATAATAAAAGGGGAACTGCCAGCAGGGTTGCCAACAGGAACCCAGATTTAGCCACCTACACCTCCTGCAAAGGGGGGAAAGCTTTTACCAGCTTTTACCCAAAGATTCGGTATCTACCAAGTGGCAGGTGGCTTCACATGTTAACACAGCTGTCAGCACTAACAGCAGCACCAACACATGCGAGCCCAAACAGATGGGGGAAACAGGTTCCTTCCCGCCTCAGATTAGAGCACTCACATGTGGCCCATATGAGGTAATATGGCATCTCCAAACCACTAAAACACAGTTGCAGAGGGATTTGCACAGAAGAGGAAAATATCATTTTTTTCCTAGTTCATCCTGCCCAGAGTTTCACTTGAATGTCGAATAAGAGAGGGGAGGGTGCTGTGCCTACTCCATATCCACTTAAATTTTCTACTGCAGTTCTGATTATAATGGTTGTGCAGAAGGGAAACCTCCCCCTTGTCCTTGCTGATTTAGAGTGAGCAGATGGTGAAATTTTAATTGTGCTTTCTCCATTTCCTCCGTTTTATAGGTTTCTAAAATCTTGAGTCAAGTCTTTTGTTTTGTTTGGATACTGAAAAGGAAAGCAAGTTCCCACCATGCTGGTTTAGGAGGAGCCCTCCCCTTACACACAGTTTTAGAACTTTCCTGATACACTGAAGTCATAACTAGGGGAGAAATGTAGTCTTAAAACCTCCAAGCTAAACATTTTGCCTGCAAGCACATTTTAGCACAACTACTAAATGAAAACAACATTCTCAAACTGTTTCCATTGTTGGATTGCTACAATAAGAACTCTGCTAAACAAAAGCATACTTCACTTTTCCATTTCATGCATGTCTAATACATTTATCTATAAAAATATTTTATATGTCTCAGCTACTTTTTCGTGTTAAGCAGCCCCATTTTCCAGGCTCTTACAGGTAGATGTGGCACAAACAGCAACAGTATTTTAATAACAAACAGTCCCTTACCTAACATTTTCCTTTCCAGTGTATAATATATTATGGCAATGTTTCTAATAGGTGGCATGAGACCATGAATTAAAATGCACATAATGAAGTCATCACATCTCTTAGCCATTTTTCACAATTTCACCTGTCCAGATGTTGAAACAAACACTGATGACTCTAAAATCTTTAATCTGTACTTACTCTAAAACAAAGGCGAACAACAGAGTTGAAGATTTGGGTCTTGGATATGTTATTACAGAGATGAAGCAGGTTAGCAAGGATTTCTAGGATTATTTTCTATCTAGCCATGACCTCCTGCTGTACAGTCTGTACTGTGCAGCTTCCAGCAGTCCTCATCCTTTAGCTGTAAACACACAGTTCCTCCATTTGATTTACTGAAAATGGTTTAAAAGGCAGCCACATGGTCAGCTGCTATTGTTCAAATGCCTTCATGTCTGGAGAAGACAGCTGGAAATGACTCACGGCTTTCACTGCAGCTTCTGAGACCCATAACTGTGGTCTTCATTATTTTTGATAAGATTTATACACAGTGCTACCTATGGCTAAAGTTCAGCGTAGTAATTAAAATCTTTACATCGACTTCTTGGAAAGCCTCTTCTGTTTGTTTTCCGCTCTACAATTTGTGACATTTACATTTAGCCAGTAGCAAAAGTGCTAAAATGGAAAACTAATTGTAAAGTACAAAATAAGAAATGACCAACCCACCTACAGAACCTTTTTAAAACAGATTTTCCTGCACCTGGGCATGGAGCAAAAAGCACTCAGAAGCTTCACACTGTGGTGGTATGTGTGCACCCAAGTACTCGAGATAAGGACCAACATCCTTTACTGTTAATTCCAAAAGATTTGACAACTTTCAGCTGATTGGCACAGCTTGTCTGGAAGGCTTCCAAGACATTTTTGACAGCACCTCATATCAATTAAACTTGTGTGAATACAAAAGATTAAACTCACTTGTCCTCTTACCAGTGTTAATCAAAAACCACCCTACCCTAACTGGAGCTCAAGAAAATCTGCACTTCATATGATGAGGTCTCTGTAAAACCATCCAGTTCTGAGTCTGCTTCCCTTCTAAGACAACCTGTCTACTCACCACCATCCTTCCTTGAAAAATTATGGTTAAACAAAATGCTTCAGTAAGCTGATTTCATCCGAATTCTAACATATGTATGGTAAAAAGCAGCACAAATAATTTACTGCTCAGAAGAATGCAAGAGCTTTCAAAAAGAGGTGTCTTACATGCAAATGAAGGAAATCCATGAAATACATAACCAGCAACTTTTACACTGTAACTCATTTAACACTTTTCCACCTAGAATATCTTTTGAATATCAGATTTGTGGTTAAAAATGAATACACACCTTTCTGTACAAATCTACACACTTTCAAATATAAAATCAAATTACTATTCTAATAGTCTCACCATATTTCCATGCATGTATATGAAAGTACTTTTTAAAGTTTGCAGATTACTAAGCAATTTTAAATTGTGGTACAAGCCTATGTACAGTAAACTTAAGCCTCTGGACAGCAGACCTGCTTTTTTTAGTCACCTTTCAAAGATTTCCTAAAACTACTCCTTGGACCCCAAGGCTTCCTAGAATCACTGACTGCAAACCACTGTCAGAGACACACCAATGCCACCTTTTCTCTATTCTGCTGGATTTCACAATATAGAATAGTTTTTAATCCAATATCCTGAGCCATTTATAGACTGTTAGTAAAAATGTTTGAAAATTAGAACATATATATATATGTATGTATGTATGTATGTATATATAAAGTAACCTCATACCACAGTCACATTAAGGAAGTGTATTAGCATATTCAAAAAGGAAGAATCATCTCTAGTGTCTGGAGAAATACACTGCAAAATATTCTGTAAGTAAAAATGACTGTAAGTACACCAGTCTCTAACAAGCAGAATTCTTATGGACTGAGCCAAACAGGATCATAAAAGCTTTTGGCTGTAAATGTTGCAGAATCCCATCTGGTTTCAGGGAACAAGTTATTTTCCTCTCCATTTAAGCTTCCAGTAAGAAATTAGAAAAAAAAAGGAAAGAAAAAACAAAGAAGAGACCTTTTCTTATGTATACAAATTATATCCATAAGCTACTCCAAACAGACAGAAAATACTTCAATCTTATTACAGAACAAACAAAAAAACAGAGTGTAATTCTTGGCATACAAGTTTCACATTACAGTAAGCAGTATTTATAGTGTACAGAAAAGGGA